ATATATATATATATATATATATATATATATATTAATTATAGTATTTCAAAAGATATTGTTGTAGTCCATGTTTTTAATACTTTTAATGTTTGTATTGTTCCTAGATGGAGATTTGATGTGACATGTGGAAATTTTCTTCAAGAGTTTGGGAAATTATATAAATGATATAAAATTGCAGATTGCTATTGGATAATTACTGAATTAGAAAGCGCATTAATCAGTTTGTCTGTTATTCAGTCAGTTAATCCAGTTTGATAAATTTTAAGCTTGTATTTAAATAAGTGACTAGCATTATTTGTGAAGTTAGGCCCCTGGTTCAGTGAACTTATGGTAGAAGAAATAAAACTTTCTTTTCATTAAGTGGACTGGACTTTGCATTATATATTTTTTACTGAATAATCCAAAGAAACCCACACAACAATATAATAGTACATTATTTTTTACTATCATTGAATATGAAATATATTTCAATCTACTTATACAAAAATATTAAAATCTGCTACATTAAATCTAATAAAACTTTCTTCATGCTTCTTATTTATTCAATAAAGAAAATCACTGCCTAAAGTAAACAAATACTGGTAGTTTGTACAGAGCAATAAAACAGGTTAATAATTTATTTTTGACACATGAATAATCTGTGTAAATCTGCATATATATTCTGAAAAATTAAGTAATGTCAAAATAATTTAAAGTGAACCCATCCATTTTAGGTAACACTTTATGGAAGTTTTGTAGACTACGTGCAGATGGAAAACATCAAGGACATATGCATAAAAATAACTGGCTGAAGGTACAACTTTGCTGTACAAGCCACTTCTCTTAAGTCATCAAACTGATACAAAAAGGTCCAGACTGATTAAGATCAGATTTCCACGAAATGTTGGAAAAATCTTTTTTGTGGTAGACTATCAAAAGACAAATTGTGTTTTGAATGGTGAAAATATAAAGTCTTCTTTGAAACTACTTAGAGAAACAAGGGCAAGGAACCTCAGTGTAGTCTAATCTATATTAAGTAAGAAAAGTCTGATAGAAGAATAAAAAACAAATACTTAATCACTGACCTCACTTGGATGGTACACATTATTTTGATATTGATGACAAGGTTTTTTTGAAAAAAGTTGTCTTTTGCTACAAAAACAGTTTAAGTATTTTTTTGTTTCTATTAACTTTGTTTCTGCTATATCATTGAAATGTTTTTCACGAGTCAAGATTTTATCACTTAAGTAGCTCTTTTGAATTAAAAGATTTAATCTTTTTCTTGAGATAAAAAAATCAAATTTTTTATTACATTGGTTTAAATCTCAAGTTAATACTAAATGTCACAGAATCAAATTCTACAAATAGAAAGAAACTTACTTTGATTTTGCTTTACCCATGAAAAATGTATATACTTCTTATTTCTGACTGAAATAAAAGAAGACAACTTTAGAAACTTTACAGTAAATACAACTTCTAGACAAAGGAGTCCACCCTGTATGCAATTTATCTATGTATTGTAGTACAAATAATTCATGCAATTCGTTTAAACCTGATGACTGTGATTTCTCAAGTTATAATAAATTCAATTGAGGGCAGTATATGATAAAAACTGGTCAATCATTAGTTCAAACATTCTGAAGTACAATTATGCAAGTTTGTCATATTTAAAAGAAATAAAAAATGCAACAGATCTATTGTAATGAAATACAAAATTAGCCTAGGATTACGAATGCAACCAGTCATAGCTTCTCCATTTGGTAAACCACATTAAAATCTAGCTTAATAGAAGAGCAAACACAGGAAAATAAATTCAGTTATGACATGGATATGGGAGTATAAACTTAACTGATACAGAATAAATTTACTGTTTTGCAAAATGTAGTAGCATTTGTTTCTTTACATTTTTTTGGAAAAATAAAATGGATGTATTATAAAATAAAAAAAACACATTATTACAATTAATATACATCATCACTTCATTTAAGTCTATTTTCATTTAACTGTTTCATTTGTGCTACATACTTTTAATTTTCTCGTTCTACTTCTTATATTCAAATTGTTTACTTATTATGTATTACAAATTATATCATATTTCTGTTGTAATTACCAGTGTGTTTGTTTTGTACCTCTAGATTATGGAAGATAGAATTTTGAAATTGCAAAATGCTTAATAAATGTTTCATATCATTACGTTTGTGTTTTGGTTTATTGTTGAAGTTAATGTTCCATGAGAAAATTTTAACATGATATAGTTAGCAATAAAAATTACTACTATCTTGGAATGTATTTTTCCAGACTGAAATTTTAAGTATTAACTAGCAAACTGCAATATGTAATTGAGAACGATTACTGTGCTAAACAGGGCACAATTTCTCACTATTTGCACAGTATTCTTTAAAATATTTAACATTACTTCACAAAATCTCTTGGAGGGGCTATAGGAAACAGAGATAAATCTCAAGACAATGCTTTATTACTTGTTATAGTACTTTTAATCTGATGTAAAATACACACTCATACACTTTTTATCAAAATTACGTTTTTCAATTTTTCCAATGTATCTGAAAACAAAGATTGAAATTTCAAATTTCAGAAGCTGAAGATTCAAAACTTTTTAATGGTAATATACATTAACTGGTACAGCGGTACTGGTAGGTGAGTTGTGGAGTATCCAATTGTGTCTTTAACTAAGTTTACATCTTAAATTTAAAACAAAAATATCTATGAAGATCTATAAAATTATAGTTATTAGAAAGTAGTAAATACAGCATGACAAAAAATATGAGGAAGGGAAAATATCTAATAATTATAGAAATACTGAAGCATGAACTATGGCTTCATAGTCACACTGGACACAACTTATAATGTTATATTAAGTTGTTATAGCTTACATTGTAACTTTCTAAATTTGAATTGCAAGTTCAACACTCACAACAGTGTAACACCAAAAAATTCGGTATTTGGGTAAGTATTAAACTATTAAAATTATTAAATTAATAAAGGCCTATTGAAAATTGCGTATAATATATATATATAAATTACACCAAACTCACCTGATACTGTGATAATGATACTATTAGTATTACTAGTAGTAGTAGTTATAAGAGAAATTTACAGCAAGCATTACAATTCACATGTATCAAGAGCGCCATCTATAATAATTGAATCCAATAAGGTTAAATAAATATACACTAATACTTAGTCTAGTAAAAAATTATTTTTACATAAGTTTGAATATAGAGCAAAATAATGCAAAACAACTTATAAATTTCTATACCTACAGCTAATCAGTACGGACGGGTCCGCTAAGAAAATTGCACTATATAGTTTGAAGTGTTAAAAATGTCTTTTGCAACTAAGGCTTTTTTTCAAACATAAAATGAAAATATAAACAATTGAGGGGCTTCAATCCAAATCTTTTCTACTACTTTGTTAGTCACACTAGCTACAAGCTGTTTCATGCCATTCACCTCTCTACTATATGCAAGAAATTCATAAGCCCAGTTTACACTTATCCTTATTTTGAGGAACAAAAGTATTTTTGTACTGGAAGTTGTTACAATTTCTGATTTCATAATAAATTTCAATACCAGGTTCATATATATATATTACGTCGTCAAGAAATAAATGTCGCGTTTTGGAACACTTTCATTAACCATCCCCCCAAAAAACATACATCATGTATAATAGTTAAGCGAACCGCCTAAACGTCACGTTAATGTAGCCTATATAATGTGTAGAGTTTAGTATATCTTAATCCCTTATAGTGATGGTACACGACGAGATGCACATTCGGCATTTAATGCTGTTTGAATACAAGAAGGGAAACAATACCTCTGTAGCCACAAAGAATATCAAAGAAATTTATGGAAATGTTTTGAACGTTCGTAAGTGTCAACGATGGTTCAACATATTTCGTTCAGGGGATTTTTATCCTTAAAAACTGTGATGGCGGGAGCCGACTTGTTGGAATTGATATTGATGCTCTGAAGACGC